CGGAAAAGAAAAACGACGTCCCCGAACTCGACAACCCTGATTGGCTGTGTGACTTAGCGTTTCTTGTAGACATCACAAATCACTTGAATGTCTTAAATACGCGACTCCAAGGCAAAGATCAATTGATTTCGCAGCTATACTCTCATGTTTCGTCCTTTCAATGCAAATTGAGTCTTTTCAGGACACAAATCAATTCAGCCAATTACGGCCATTTTCCGAACTACAAAAAAATTATGGAGAAGTTCAATAAAACTGACGTCAATTTCGCTCATGTTGAAAAAATTGATATTTTGATACAAGCTTTTGAAAATCGTTTTGTAGACTTCAAAAAAGTTAAACCGCTATTGGACATTTTCAGCAATCCTTTCAACATTTCACCCGAAAATGCGCCGGAATTAATGCAGCTGGAATTAATAGACATGCAAAATGATGATAATTTAAGAAACAAATTTAATGAAGGTAATTTACTCAACTTCTACCGTTGCGTTGATAAAAACGCTTATAAAGAGTTGCGAATAAATGCATTGAAATGCGCAAGCTTATTTGGATCGACGTATATTTGTGAACAAACGTTTTCAGTGATGAAACTTAACAAAACGAAAAACCGAAACCGTCTGGCAAATGAAAATTTGGAAGCAATTATACGTGTGGCTACAAGTAATGTGGAGCCAAATATAAAAAAACTTGTTAGTTCAATGCAATGTCATGCATCAAAATAATAAAACATGAAATATTACATTGTAATGATTACATAATTATTACAACAAACATTTTTGAAGGTTATTTTATTTTTATCATTGTATTTCATAATATTTAAAAATAAAAAATTTTGTGTTAATAAATATTGTTTGTAGTGGCCCGTCCTTGGCTTATATTTTTCCCGAGTGGCCCCTGTTCCCTATAAGTCTGTGCATCCCTGCTCTAGACAGTCTAGACCTTCGAGAAACATTTATTATTAAATAAATCGACCAAGAGAAATCGCTGGAAATAGTTTTCAAGTTCGTAGCTCGGCCGCTAGGGGGCGCAGTCTACATACCAAAACAGAATTGAATTTTTCTCGTAAATGTTTCCTATTCGGGTACATTAAATGGTACAAATATAGATAGTCGGATTCATCGCGCACAACATTTGTTATTGACTGTCGACAGAAAGGGTGGGGGAAGCCCCTAGCGTCTGATCTGAAAAATGCATATTTTTAAGGACTGGCTCATCAAAAGCCCACAGTGTTATACCTCGTTGGAAAGGTCTTTTCATGCTTTATCTCGTTGTGAATGCGTAGTGTCATTTACCTCAATATGGAAACCTATAGATGGCGTTATTTCAGAAGAATGCCGTTTTATGGAA